ATAAAATGCCAATATTTCAATAGGCTGTACGCTTAACTTCATCAGGGCGTTTCTTGTTTTTAAACTCCTTTGGATGATCACGCGATGCCTTCACGCGACGATATATAAAATATTTACAACTCTGGGGCTAAAATTTAAAATATATACACACAAATATCAATAATAATAGACTATATATACATGATTCATAATAAGTATAAGTATATATGTATGTAAATAGAGAGAAAATAATAATGTAACAACGTATTTATTATTTTATTAGCAGAGTATTATTTTTTATGTTTATATTTTGATATACTCTGTACACTTCCCTCTTTTGCTTATCTTTTGTTAATCACTCATAGTTTGTTCTTGCCTGAAATAAATTGTTGTCTCATCCCGAAGTTGGTCTTCCCTAATTTTCCACGTGGTGATAATTTATAATATATTGCCAATCTCTCATGTCTGGTGTGTGTGGATGGGATATCTCTCAATACAAACACAATATCTCGGGCAGGAGAGACGACGAAGATAAAATATCCAGAGCTGCTTCCAAATTCGTGTTTTTCTTTTGGAGTCTGAGGTTTTAAGGAGAGACTCGTGTTTTCTTTACTCTCGAGAAGTTTCCTCCCGCGTGGGAATCTCTTGTTTCTGACAGAAGAGCTCTTGAGACATCTCCTCGAGCTACCTTTATTAGCAATCCAAATAATGGGAACCTTTCTTCAGACGTTGGCACCATGTTTTCATTTTAAAAATCCATGGCGTGTCCAAGAAATATATCGAGTCAATTTTAAATTTTTAATAAAAACAAAATAGAAAAAAGATCCCCCTTCAAAGTAATCAATCACCTTATTCACTAATACATCTACTCTATCTTTTATGAAGTTCAATAAAAAGTTTAAAAAATATTTTTCTGAGACTTTGCTTAGTACAGTTGTTACATTTTTGGATATCATTAATACCTTTTAAAACTTTCAAGATTTATTTTTGTTTAGGGGATATAAAAGAAGTGTCGCATATAAGAATAGTTCAGGGGAATAAGGTGCATGGAACACCTCTAGAATGGAATGTTTGACCAAAAAATGTGATGTATCATAACAAATTTGTGTAGCTTAGCATTTTTATGGAGAAGAAACCAATCACCTGTCTCTCACAAAAACGTCTTTTTAGGCGAATTTTGAGCCTCAAATTAAAAAGATCATTTATGAAACATTGTTGAGTGAATGATTGTCCTCAAGGTAAAGATTCACTGTAATAAAAATTCCTCTAACATGCCTTGATTTTAGATTTGGAAGCACGTTTTTTTTTTTTTTCGCTGGTGAAACAGGGCCCCTCCATTCCATGCTTTATATATACCATTTTGTTTGCGGATCATAGTGTTAACTCTGAATTCTACCACAACCAATTATTTTAAAGCAAAATTTGTATCCTTTATCATTTGTTTAAACGACTTTCTTTCTGTTCCAACGTAAGGTTTTTTTGGTACCAACTTCGAATACAATTTCTTCTTATGAAAAACTTAAGTTAAAATGTAGTGGAAACAATTAATTTTGTTAACGGTCGCCCCAGATTGCATTATTACTGTCAAATGTCTGTCTTTAGTTATCAAAATTTTGATTTTCTCGACATTTTCGGAAACAATATTTCTTGAAGGTCGACCTTTGCGAAGTGCATCTTCGACATGTTCTAAGCCCTCTTTAAATTTTGAATACCATTTAAACACATATTTGAACGAGATGAAGCATCCTTACCGCACACTTTCAGCTAGAGATTTATCAGGTTTGAAACAAAATTTAATATTTATTCTCTGAGGAAGAAAACTTATGAGGAAGAAAACTTTTTCTACGCTTGCGCTTACTAGCGCCCCCTATGATCCCAAATCCCTATATATATAAAAGTCAGTGTATGTATGTGTGTTTGTTCCTATGTCGGCTATACACGTCCACAATACGTAACTAATCTAACTGAAATTTTAACAGATATAGAGTAGAATCTGGAAAAACTTATAGTGAAAATTTCAGATCTCTATCCCGAATATTTTTCGAGTTATTTGCAAATTGCGTTGCGAATTTGCCCTTTCACTCGCAAGCAGCGCCTCTAGCGGTGAAAATGGGAGGTAATATCAGCTGACCTAATGTACATGTAAAACGTGTTTCAACAGGACATAGAGAAAAAAACTGGAAGAAATATTTATCGGATTTTTAGCCAAGAAAATTTGAAATTGAAAGGTTCTGGACAAAAATAGCTGTATTTTATTCAGGAAATGATCATGACAATATTGCTGTATCATGTTTGATTATCAGATACAAAATTATAACGGGAACATTTTCAAAAAGCAGAGACCACGGGTAAAGCCAGTTCATTTTTAGTATGCAAGAACAAAATTCAAACAGAAAAAACATTCATTCGAGCAGAAGATACAAAGCCAGATCATCTTTCTATAAAAATATCGCTTCTCAGACACAAAGTTTGGAGCGGGACGTTTCACAAGAGTGACATCCACGGCGCCAATTTATAATTGTAACGAATAGTATTTGAATAAAAACATTTAATCGGGTAAAACCCGGGCGTTGCCCGGGTCATTCGGCTAGTTTAAAATAATATTGGAATTTTTGTTCCTTAATGATCCTACTGTAAATATTGCATTAAAAACATCACAATCAATTTACACGCATTCAAATCTTTTCCTTTTACAGATTTATATTAACCCTCCCCTTCACACACATAAACAACACATTCATTTCACGTCAGAATCGAAATCCCAAAAATAATTCTAACTACAATAGAACAATCTATTCAAAAGGGTAGTGTGCAAATTTCAACTTCCATTCACAATAATCACTTTAAATACCTAAATAATTCAATAATAACTGAAACATACTTGAATTTCACGATGCCACTGAAAATTAAACGTTTCATAGCACAACTTAGACTTTTCTGATTATTTTTTCCTGAAATTGCTTAAAACGTTGGAAACCCGATTGCCCCACAACTTATGATTTATTTATTTCACATCAGAAAATTTAAAAAAATGTATACAAATAAAAGATTCCCTTACAAACTATTTTTGCTCCATTCATGGTTAAAGAGATTGGTAGCTCTGTCAAGGGTCGGAACAGATGCCAGGTTAATTTTTAACAAGACTCGACCTGGTGATAACAATCTCATTCCATCCTGGTTGAACCATTATGGTTTTTCATCCCTCTCTTTTATAATATATAAAAAAAACTCAAAAGCAATAAATAATGTTATATCTGATTTGCAAAAGGAATTTTAATATAATTTAAAAAGCCTCTGTTTAAAAAATTAAAAAATCGGAATAAAAATAAGAGGAAAAGTAACGCAAAAAACTATTGCTTAAAATTCTATTATTTTTAATAAGATTTTTTAAAGATATATATACACGCGCGGATAAGTCTCCGAGGAGCAATCACATTTTCCGCAGACCTGTGCAGGACCAGCAGTTGAAAGTCGCTGTTTTATAACATCTGACCTGGGCCCCGTGTCAATGGCCCGCGTGGATTAATTGGGATTCAAGGCTGGGAGAAAGTCGGCAGACGATGGTTGCCTCTCGCCCGGCCGGGTTCACACCTCAAACCACATACAGAGATATATTAGAACATTAGTCCGTCGCACATGCGACAAGGAAATTCGAGGATATAGGATATTTGATGGGCGCTCTTCAAAATATCTCGAATTGAAGCCTATAATTCTAATGAAATAGAATATCAACTTTCAGGCCTCGTCATAACTCCGCCTTTGCCGGTCCCAAGCCCGGATGAAAAAGGAGGAGGGGAAGCAGTAACAAGCTCGCTAAAAAACCTGGGTTCAGCTGGCCTGGCTGATAGTAAGGGCTGTAAGGGCTCCTAATCCAGGGATACAGGATGAGCAGCGTTTGTACTCCATGTTAGGAGCAGCTGCACATGGCGTCTGTTCCTCATGTCAGAGGCGGCCATTTCTTTTGGAGCTAAGTCGGCCTGCCACTGAGTAGTGCTCCCAGTCCTAATTACAAAGGCAGAAGCATTCTACTTCACCCAGTCATGATGGTTGTCAAACAGACACCATCAAGGGTCATAACTTGACACCCTAATATGATTGAGTGGAAATAAGAAAGAAGAAGAGGCTTCGCCGTGCTCAATTGATAGACGTCTCAATCATTGAAATCCGTTAAGAAATCTCGGTGGAGTTCTCCGGACTGGAAAATCCCAATTCTCTGAAATATAAAGAGTACTTATGATATATTACTACACAACCTACATCTATGAGGAGGTAAAGTTGGGCTTCACTGAAAAATCTAGCACATGATTTTGCACGGAAACTACCATGTTATTTTCTAATCTCTAATTTGAAGGAATAGGTAGAGGAATTCCAACTTTTCCCACAGGACTACTCCTAGCAGAACAACAAACATACTCCAAAAAACTAAACCAAACTTATTTGACCGAAACTCGGCTTTACAAATTGCAATCAATTATCGCAGGAAATTACTGTAATATATCCGTTCAGGATAATCATGGTGGGTTGCTATTCCTTGTTCCGCAACTTGATCATTTAAGAGCAGTTCGACACCTCAGATACAAGGTCGCAAAGGTTATTTTTACAGTGCTTATTGATTGTCACTTGAACTAGTAGATTTAAACATGAATCTTCCTCGGGCCATCGCCATGTGGTAGCAATCTTATTAAACGTTTTCTATATGGATTCATGTTGCCATACAATTTAGGATGTATCCCATATTAAATAGCATTATAATTGTATTTAAATCCACAAGATCTTTTTTTTTTTTTGCTTATCCCTAGTACACGTGGTACAGGCCATGATAATCATGGTGGGTAGTTAGCGACTGCTTTTATACTGTAAGCGCACCACATGTCTACACATGTGAAAGCAGTTCGACTTTGCACTTACAAATGTGCCAGAGCCCCGTTTGGTTACTTGCATTCGCTGGTGGGGTTGGACTTTTGCAAGAATCGGGGGGGCCATTGGAGCATTTTTAATTATTTTTTTTTAACAGAAAAAAGTGTCCAATGCGGGGATCGAACCCGGGTCGTAATGGTCGAAAACCAAACGGTTTAACCAGCCTTCCACCGATTAAGACTTGAAACCGCTATGGATATATGTTTTTTTATCACAATAAAATTTGCCATCAAGTCAACGGATCTTCATCAAGACCCTGTGCGTGATGCAACAATACCTAAGACAATCGTCTTTTAGCGGTTTTAATATATCTTGTTGATGTGTTGCAGCAAAAGACTTCTCACCACATCTGAGAGGAATTATACAACCAAGCCGGTGGAAGTGCTATATGACACACATATTTCGGCCCAAGATCAAAGAAACCTCCTGACATTGGTGAAGCGGGGTCCAGGTGAGCAGCCCCCTGTGTTTGACACCGCAATATTTGCTGCCCACGCGAGCGATCCCCCTGTTTATCCGCCCGCCTTGGGCCGCGTGTTGACACAACAACCCTTGTCTTTGGCGGCTGAAACCTTTGTGCTTCTAGACGTACGCACACACCCACTTCAACAGAGACTAATCCAATTAACTCAAATAGAATCAAGCTTCCTAACGCTATGTCCAAACAGAAATTTATTTTAGAAACTCAACGCTGCTAGATTTGCATCTTACTCGACAAAATAAATATTATATGCCATGATCTGATGTCTGTATAAATCTTTGTAGATTTTAGAAATACGTAGATGAATTCTGAAAATTGAAGGGTCAGTAATTCAAGCGTTTTCTTGCGTGAAATTTGAGCGAAAATTTGAGGAATAATAATCTCTCAAGTCGTAAATCATTTTATAAATATAAAAAAATTGAGAAAAGACATTGTTCGCTTTTATTCGTGCAAAAAGGTGATGTGATTCATCGTTATTAATCAATAGCTTCATTAACACTTTTAGTCTTTTACACAAATTCTCCTGAGAGATACAGCAAATGAGTGGATAAAATAAGACGAAGGAAATTAAAGTACAAAGTTATTTGGGGCATATGCACATTTAGAGCTATAATTATTTTGAATATAAATGTGGTGTAATTCAATGGGAAGAATAATCGATGATGATGTAAACCAGGGTAGTGGTTCTTGTTCCAAGGTCAAGATCAAACCCTTTGATTGTTACTAACCATAATCCGACCAACGTTCTTTCAGTTCCAAGTTAAATAACCGTTCAAATTTTTCAGTAGTCCATCCCCATCAAGGATGTTGAGTACCCAAATGATCGGTATAATATGCAAGTTCATAGAATGATCAGTGACAAACTTTTCTTACCATATCTCTTTTCATGGTCTGTAACATTGGATGGTGTTGGGGGTGACCCCAGATGCAGTCTGTGTTCTCCAAACTGTGAGCGGCTCAAATAGCTAAACGTGAGTTCGTATGGGGCTGCAGCTAGAGTTTTCTCTTTATTATAAGTTGTCTTAAATGGGATAAGTGCAAAATGTGGAAATTGACTCCAACCTTCGCCGTCAGACGGATCCTCCTCGCCGATAGCCGACCCTGTCCTGGTTGGCTCGGCTCTCTTGGCACTGTCATCCACACCTCCAGGATGTTACACTCGGATAAAGTCTCCACTTCTCTCCTGGCACTGCGGAAGTCATTCAGTAGTTTCTTGCTTACTTACATTTTCCTTCCTTGACTGTCCCCTCTCTCAAAGGGATCATCTCACACAAACCCCTTCTACCGCCATCCATCGTCATTTCAATACAAAAGTTGATAAAAGTCCTAGATATAGCATTTAGACAACAGGATGTACACATTACGTATAACAAAGAAAGGAAGTTTTGAAAAATTAGAGAAAACCTATAGCTTTCGTTAGTACACTTAGGTAAGTGAACGGTTAGAGTAATAAGAGCATCATTTAACGCGTATCCACTCGTAGTACCTGAGAATGGCAATGGTTTCTTGTCTAAGCCTTATGGTTATCCGCTTGCTTCAGCCTAGGGGTCAAGTCATAGAATACTAATTCACAAAATCACGATAGATTGCTGTCCCATTGCATATCAACCTTTTACATTTTTATAATTTTGATGTACAAAAAAGTGATGTAATTTTCTCAAATTCAATCTTCAAATATGAATTTTTTCTTTTTTAAATTCGTGCTTCAAAAAAAAAATTAAGAATGTAGAAAGCGAACTTTATTAAAATCACATTGATAGCAATAAATTTATTCTATTGCGTGGAATCTTGCAGTTTGTTTCACTAACCGTGTCATTTGTTTGCTTCGGCAGGAAAACTTCATAAAGAAATTACCACAAAAGACATCTTTTTACTTGAGATATACCAAATTGTAATTCTAGATTATTGTATATAAGACCACAAACAAGATTATTTATTAAGATCTTTAGTATTATTTACAGATTCTCCTGAGAAATTCGACAATGAGTGGAAAAAGAGGGGGAAATTAGCATAAACAAAATTATTGAGGAAATATGTATATATAGAGCAATAATTATTTTGATATAATATTATCAAAATACAAAACTATTTTAGACGCGTATGATTCTTTTTAAAATAAAACAATTTCTACTGCCCTTACTGCAATTGAAAAATTAATGGGAGGGCCTGGCTCATCAGTGGTGAACCCTCAGATGGCGCGCTAGTGCATCGTAATATAATATTATGTAAAAAGGTTATAGGTATTCTTATAATTTCCTTTTTATATACAGATTTTCGTAAGTTATAGGATAGGATATAAAAACACTGGACTCAACAAAAAAATAAAAAGAAAGGTAAAAAATATATACATCTATAGATCTATATATAAAGGACTTAATAAAGAGATAGAAAGGTCTTAATGAAGGTATCGATTGATTGTTTCATATTT